CAATAGATAAACAATTGCCGGGTGCGGTGGCTTAAGCCTGTAATCCTAGCATTTTGGGAGGCCAAGGCGAGAGGATTGCCTGAGCCCAGGGGTTCAAGACCAGCCTGGGAAACTTGGTGAGACTTTGTCTCTACAATAAATTTAAAAATTAGCCAGGCATGGGGGTGCATGCCTATGGTTCCAGCTACTTGGAAGGCTGAGGTGGAAGGATCGCCTGAGCCCAGCAGATTGAGGCTGTGGTGGCCGTGAGCATGCCACTGCACTCCAGCCTAGGCAATGGCGTGAGATTTCAGCTAAAAAAAAATTAAATAAATGAGTAAATAGATAAATAAACAATTAGCGGGTTGTGGTAGTGTGTGCCTATAGTTCCAGCTACTTGGAAGGCTGAGGTGGAAGGGTCGCCTGAGCCCAGCAGGTTGAGGCTATGGTGCTAGTGAGCGTGCTACCGCACTCCAGCCTGGGGACAGAGTGAGACTCCAACTTAAAAAAAAAAGAAGAAAGTTACATTTATTTGGCTACTATTTGTTGAGCACCTGCGTTGCTGACACTGGGCCAGGCGTTATCTTTGTTATCAGTAACACGAGTCTGTAGGGCAGTGTAATATTTAAAAATTCATTTGTCAACAAATGTTTGCATATGAATTTTTTTAAATGGTCATAATTGCTCTGTATGGCAGAATGAGACAGCCAATAGACTCATGTTACAAACACTGAAGAAAACAAGTGAAAACTAACACTGCAGGCGTTTTCTGTTTGATCCCAGAGCAGAATTCCTTCAATGCTGCCACCTTCAATAGCCACATGCCCCATGCTTTCTTACCCTCTCTGTCTGCTAAAATGTTGCTCCTGGTCATTGCTGACCTCAGAGGTGTAATGGAAGCTTTTGTACCTGAGAGATTCTGTTCTCCTCATCTCACACCCTTGTTTATGTTCTTGAGGCTTGGCAAGTCAGCACGCACTGGGTTTCCTAAGTGTCATTAAGTGTGTGACTTGACCACAGAGCAAGGGCAGAGGTTTCATATACTGGAAAGTATTTCAATGTGTGGGTTCAAATTATTTAGTGGAACTTGACTTCATTTTGTCTTTTACTCCATTCATTATAATGCCATCTTATTTGAATAGAGCAGTTATGTAAAGCCTCTTTTGGATACTAGATTTTAAAGAATCTACTGAAATCTAAAGAGCTATTCATGAGAAAAATGGACAAATAATTTTGCATATAAGCTTCCACTGTTTGTGGATCTGCTTCAGAACATCTTTAAAGGGTAAACTACAAACTTTTGATTAGTTGAAGCCTTCATTGGTTTTAAATTTTGTTATATGACATTTATTTTCACTGGTATTTGTTATAATGTGCTATATTCCTGTGTTCCTCCTTAACTATTTAACCTTTAAAGTGACATCCAGAAGTGGTACTACTGGTTGGGTACAGTTTTGTTTTTTTTAACATTTGCTATCTTTGGGATAGTTTATATTTTATTAAATACCTACTCAGTAGTTGAAAACACTGTCAGATCCATTACGCAATTCACATTCAGTACAGTAATTGTATGTTGTAAGTACAGTTGTCCCTTGGTATACTCTGGGAATTGGTTCAAGGACCTCTGTGTATACTCAAATGCATGCCTGCTCAAGTTCCAAAGTGTGCTCTGTGGAACGGGCATATATGAAAAGTCAGCCCTCCGTATTTATGGGTTTCACATTCTGCAAATACTGTATTTATTTTCTATTTAATTTTTTTAATACAAGTTTTTTCCTCTGAAAAATTTACTGGGTAAATACTGTTTTTTAATTGCCTTTGGTATAAGTGAATGTAGGCAGTTCAAACCTGTGTCGTTCAAGGGTCAACTGCAGTAGTATTCCCATCTTACAGATGAGGACAAGCTGCCTAAGATAATACTAACAGCTAATAGACCGGGATTGGAACCCAGATTTGTCTCCTCCAGTCATCCATGGTCTTTTCAGAAACTCATTTAAAAAACTTACTTGTCTTGATCAAAGTTTACCATTAGTACTAAGAAATTAGAAAGACAAATATATATACACACACAAACATACCCTTAAAGAAAATTAATATGAAAGAGAAAGTATGCTTAATATCCTGCGACTCTGGCAAATCAAACTAGGATGTCTCCTACATTTCTTTACAACTCATTGTTAACAAACAGATGCTCTGGTGGTCTGAGGGGAGAAAAGCTGCTATGAAAGAAGGAGCAGAAAAGCTTAGGAGGTGGCTGATAGGAGGATAATATATCTGTTAAAGTGTGGGACTCAGACCTAACTGACCCCTGGCCTGGCTCCAAAAAGTCTCTTACAAATCCGTTTTTTGTAGATAAGTCTCACAGAAAAACCTCACTGGGAAAGACGAATAGTGTGCCTTCTGAGAGTGATTTTCTTGTTTGGCCATAGAGACTGTAACCTTTGCCACCCATCACATCATGTGCAGCAGGGGTTGTGGGAAGGAGCTTGAGGATGTTTGGCATTAATCTAAACTCCTAGAAAAGGGACTGGAAAAATCACACTGAAGAAAAGAAGCGAAATGGAGGGGCCTGTTGACCCTTGAGCAGCAACTCTTGAGAGAACCGAGATGAAAAAGGGGGAAGAGGGAGCTCGGTTACCTTCAAGGCTGACTTAAGTCTCAGAGTTGCTTGAACTAGTCAGGTAGATTCCAGTGAGGTCTTTAAAGTACCCGAGCAGAGAAATTTACCAGTATAACTGGAAATTGTATAGTGCAGTTCCTTCTTTTTAAGCTTTATTTGAATAGTTATTAGTAGCAACTGGACCTTAGCTCAGACAATAGCTATTTTAATGAAAGAGTCACCATTGTAGAAATCCAATTCTTTCAATGATTAGACTTTAAAATCATTAGATTTGACATTGTTGGTTTTTTTTTTTTTTTTTTTTGAGTTGGAGTCTCACTCTGTAGCCCAGGCTGGAGTGCAGTGGCCGCTCCCGGCCACCGCAGCCTTGACCTGCTGGGCTCCGGCGATCCTTCCGCCTCAGCCTTCCAAGTAGCCGGAATTACAGGCGCGCGCTACCACACCCGGCTCATTTTTTGATTTTATTGTAGAGATGAGGTCTCGCCTGCCCAGGCGGGTCTCGAACCCGCGGGCTCAGGCAATCCACTCACCTCAGGCATGGGATTACAGGCTGAGCCACCGAGCCCCCTGAGATTGTTTTACTTTGTAGCAATGTCAAAAACCTTGTGTTCTAAAGGCAGATTTTTAAAGGCAGAATATAATGCAAGTCTGCCTTTCTGAGGATAATCTAACTTACATGTTATTACAGTTCTTGGGGATCTAGCGTCAGATGAATTCAGCACTGGAATCACAACCTACTAATATGCTTGCCTTTGATGTGCTCTGTTGCTCTGAGCAAGTTGTGTGGGCTGTTATCTCCTGAGAAATCCCAGTAAATGGTATTAGTAATACTTTATAAATAGGTTGAGAGAATATAGTTTTCTAAAGCATTTTGAAATTCTTAGATGAAAGACTCTATATGGAGCAATTGGTGTCAGCCTGTTTTCTCTGAGCCAGGAGAAGATAGGTACGTTAGGGTGGGAAGAGTTGGCTTATCTTTTAAAAGTTCTTTTAGAAATTGCTTTTATTGAATTTACAATGGATATCTGAAGTTTCCAAGAACATAGTTTACTACAAAAGCAAACTTTTTGGATTTGGGTCTTGTAATTCTTTGTTGTTGTTGTTGTTGTTGAGAAAGCAGGATTTATTGAGAGGACAGAAAAGCTCCCACAGTGGGAGAGGACCCTAGGGGATTGCCCGGGTCTTGTAATTCTTAACTGTATCTTCGCCTAAGATTTAAAATATGGGTTTAAATATTAGTTTGTAATTGACCAGACTGAGGAAAGATACAGTCTTTTAATGATCCTGGGTCTCATCTTTCTTTCATTTTTTTCCTTTATTTCAGAGGAGGGATACGACTGACTTTTCTTACAAGTAGCCAACTTTTTCTTTCAATATGTAGGATCTATTACTTCCATTACTCTGTGAATTATTCTTAGCTGCCAAACAACTTGCAATGGGTGCTGGAACAAAGTTTTTAATCTATATTAATTTCTACATTCAGTACAGTAAATGCATCCATGTGAAGATAGCTATGTTTGGAAGATTTAAAACTAAGTTTTAACAGTCTAATAGGCAGGATAATGTATATGCCTAAGTAACCATAATGCATGGTGCTTTGAAAAAATTCATATTTCTTCCTGAATTATCCCTAGTTAAAATAATTGTGAGTAGTAACATAAGGATTTTGTAGTAACTTAATACCGCTAGGCTTTACTGTTTATGCATTTGCAAGAAACTTTCTGCTAATGCCAAAGCAACATGAACCTGTCTAGATACATAGAAGGTGGGGCTAATTTACTTCCTGGTGCTTTGTTTGAAACCTTGACTGGACAGGTGCAATTGTGGGCCCCTCTTTTGTTGTTTTTTAAAGGCACACTTGTTGCAGGCTTGAAAAGCTGTTGATCTCATGGATTTGTTGTATGCATGTTCGCTTTAAAAACAGGATGTATTTCTTCCCATTGTTACATATACTTGCCTTTTTTTTTTTGAGTTGGAGTCTCACTCTGTCGCCCGGGCTGGAGTGCAGTGGCACGCTCACGGCCACCCCAGCGTCGGCCCGCTGGGCTCCAGCCATCCTTCGGCCGCTGCCTGCCAAGGAGCCGGAACTACAGGCGCGCTGCCACGCCCGGCTGAGTTTTTGATTTATTGTAGAGACGAGGTCTCGCCAAGCTGCTCGAACCCGTGGGCTCAGGCAGTCCTCTCGCCTCGGTCTCCCGAAGTGCGGGGATGACAGGCTGAGCCACCGGCCGGGCCTGCTTTGCCGGTTGCTACTTGTGTGACTGCGTGGCCTAGCACCCACCCTCGGCAGGCCTCCTCGGGACTGGGTGGGCTGGACGGGGTTTGGCGTTTGAGGACCCGGGGCAGTAATTAACCCGGTTTACAGGTGTGTCATGAGTTCTAAACCACCGCCTTGCAAAAGAACCGTGAGGGTTCGGCCTCTTGGCAAGGGGCTCTGCATCTCACGGCCCTGAGCCTTCCCGGCGGCAGGAAGTCTAGCTTCAGCTCTCCACAAACAAAACACCAAGTAAAATACTCTCTCGTCACAGAACGGAAAACGCGGGTCGACCTGACTGCAAGGTATGTCAGCGAACGCTTTAAAGCGCAGGGTCTTTCGGCTTCCTGACAGTTTTGCCGTAAGGCTGTCTGAAAGAATTTCTTGAAAAGTTAGGCGACACAGTCAGTAAACGCGGAAAAGAACAGCCGACCTTCCGTCGGGCTTCACTCCCGCCGCGGGTCGAGGCCCATTATCGCGCGCGCTCTGTGCGTGGCGCGAACGCGGCGTGGCGCGGCGGGGGCGGGGCTGTCGCGGCGCGGCGGGGGCGGGGGCGGGGGCGGGACCGTCCTGCCGCGGAGCCTGCTGGGGCGGGGCGGGGGCGGGGCCGTCCAGCCGCGGAGCCCGCTGGAGGCGGGGGCGAGGCGGGGGCGGGGCCGGGGCCGACGCGCCGCGGAACCTGCCGGGGGGGCGGGGGCGGGGCCGACGCGCCACGGAACCTGCCGGAGGCGGGGACAGGGGCGGGGCCGTCCGAACGCGGAGCCCG